AGAAAGAAAGAAAGAAAGAAAGAAAGAAAGAAAGAAAGAAAGAAAGACCTCACTTTTGGGTTATATCAGTCATTCCTGTCCCACAAAAATCCAGCCTCAATGACATTTTATCCTGTCAATAGTGTAAGAAAAAGTGCCACTAGCATTGAAGCTGTCAATCGAGGATGGTGGAGGTCTTGTGAAGAGAGGTTCTACTTGCATTGGCTGAGAATCAATGGGGCCTGTGAACACAGACAGAGTGTGTTTTTAGAAGAACACAAACTTCTAAGAGTTTGTAGAAAATTTTTTTCACAAACAAAGATTGAGAAAATAATTGACAACAGCCCCGATCCAGGGAAAAGAATAGAATGAAGAAACTTAAGAGAAGGTTCTTGAATGTGATGCTTACAATTTGTTGATTAGAACTGGGTCCTGTGGCCACACCCTCTTATGAGAGACTTCGTACTAGAGTTTTATGTACTAATCTGAACATTTCTGCTGTGGAGAAAGGAGAGAATGAGTTTGGAAGAAGAAAAGCATTGCCTCCATCCCTAAGAAGATTTGTAGAAATGTTTAATGTAGTACCTGGCTCACAGCAAATGACTCAGACATTCCAACAGCAGTGGAAAGGGGGAAATGCAAACTGGCTCTTTTACAATATGTATGGAAACCTAAGCATTATATATGGAAACACTTCTGTCTTGACTCTTTCAGGGTTGAGTGAAAGAAAGAATAAACACAGAAGAAAAGGCCTGGCTACAGATACCCCTTAGGATCTGCATGTGTTTAGATTCTGGGTTTTGAGCTCCCTCCTTGATAAGATAGAAATTAAAATGCCTGATAGTAGTTGTACACATTAAATGAAAAAGACCACAGATTAAACCCTATGACTCACTAATCTATTAATTTATTTATTCATTCAACAGATAATTAATTGTATTCTTATGGTGTGTTTTGAATTCCTATGGGTATTGGGGAGAAAATGATGGGTCATAGACTTGAGGGAGTCCTATTGACCTTCAGTGGGATACAGCCATTAAGCATGGTTACTGATTCTAATTATGCTTGTAATCAGTGATAGGATAGAGAGTCCATGTCAGAAAAGAGATGAGCTATGGTCAGGAATAGGTTGATTATGGAGTAAAGTGGACAAGTGGGACAGATTGAAAAATAAGATTGGAGGGTCAGCAGGGAAATGGAGGGAGAAGTCACAAGAATGCTGTCTACTCTTTTACCTTGATCAATGATTGGTGGGGATATCAGCTTTGTGGAAGAGAGTCCTGAAAGGGTGAGTGGCTAGATGAAAGGATTAGTGGTTGACTGACAGATAGAAAAACACATGATAGAGAGATGAGAGAACAGATAAATCAGTAAGTCCTTGACATAGTACATATGTATAATTTAATAAAATAACACCAAATCAATAACATATTATTTATGTTTTCCTTGCTTCATTGAGTCTTTCAAATCATCCCTAGAAATAGGAAGCATGACTTTCTTTTAGGAGCTGCAACTGAGACACAGGAGGTCAAGTCACTTGACAGAACCAGAACTCGAGTCTCCTGTCTTCCCATCCACTCTCCCTCCTCTCCTCCATCATTCTGTCTCTTAATGCCAAGACAGAAGATGGTCAGGGGACGACAAGGACAGATGGAGACTGTCCTGGTTTGCACATCTAAGCCTTTGGAAAGGGGAGGAAAGAAAATAGATCCTTACTGAGCAGATCTCTTGGTCTCCTTGCAGGTCAAAATATTTTCATGGGAAGAAAGTGAATGGCGACACTGAGATCCGAGTGGAACAGGTAGGTGGTGACCCCTTCCATAGCTCTCCCCACTCTTGCCCTTTCATGAATTGGAGCATTTCCCAAAGCAACCTTGCTTCCATCTTATGTGGTCATAATGAACTAAGATTTCCAGAAAAATTTCAGGTTGTACTTGGGAGTCTCATTAAGTTCCAGAAATTTCTGGTCCACTAATTTTTCAACCTTTTAGTTTTAGTTAATATATTACTAAGGGTTCTCTTAAGTATCAGAACAGCAAAACTGAATATATATATTTATACATATATATATGTATGATTATGTATGTATACATATATGTTATGTATATAAATATAATGTGTGTGTTTAGTGTATGTAAAGGGAATTTATTAGAGTGGCTTACAAGCTGTGGTACAGCTAGTCTAACAATAACTGTCTAACAATAGAAGGTCTAAGAATCCAGAAGTTGTTCAGTCCACGAGGCTGAGTGTCTCAACTGGTCAGTATATGCCAGAATTCCAGAGGAGTAGGCTCTAATGACAGTAAAGGAATGGACTAGACAGAGAGAGTGAGAAAAAGCAGGCAAAGAGTGAAAGTTTCCTTCTTCCATGTTCTTTATATAGGCTGTCCAAATTAAAGGTGGATCTTCCTACTTCAAAAGATCTGGATAATAGGGGGGTCATCCCAATTTAAATGATTTAATTAATTTTTTAAAAATCCCTTATAGGCATACCCAACAGTTTGGGTTTTAGTTAATTCCAGATATAGTCAAGTTGACAACCAAGAATAGCTATCACAGATAGGGAATTTGTCTTCAAAGAAAATATAAAAAGGAAATCATTTTTCAAAACCAAGAAAAGTGGAGCTGTTCATAGGGGCAGCTATGTGTCCCATCTTTATTCCATGGCTCTAAGGCATCTCCTTTGACTTTGACTATGAACTATAATGGATGTATTAGTTACTTTTATATTACTGTGACACCACACCATGACCAGGACAATTTATGACAGAAAGAATTTAATTGGACTTAGGACTTCAGAGGGCTAGAGTCCATGATGGTAGAGCAAAGGCATGGTGTCAGGAACAGCGGAGAGCTCACATCTTGATCTTCAAGCAAGAAGAAGAAAAAGGCACACTGGGAATAGAAAGCCTTTTGAAAACTCAAGGCCTACCTCCAGTGCTGCACCTCCTCCAACAAGCCCGTTATCCAACATCCTTCCCAAATAGTTCTACCAACTGGAGCCCAGATATCCAAATATATGAGCCTATGAGGGCCATTCTCATTCAGACCACCACAGTGGGAGAGCATATATTTAAATCCTGACTCTCTTCTTTCTTGATGTTGAGATGATTTAATCTTTCTGTGTCATCATTTTCTTATGTCATTGGAATGAAATTATCTGAAGCTTCAAAAGAGACCAGAATTGAAACTATCATTCCGTATTATTACTTCTGTTATCAATGTCCAGATATTCCATTTTCTATACAAAGAAACATTGACTAGGTCAGATAGCATAGGAAATCAGGACTAGACTCTAGACCTCCTGATTCCTGACCAGGGACTCCTCCATTCAGGAAACTGAGACCCTCCTTTGTAGGACCATCATACTCAATCTTAGGAGAGCACATCAGAGCAAGGGCTCTGTACTCAGACTCCAGGTTCGAATCCCAACTCTGCCTCTTAATGAGTTTTCCTGGCTGAGCAATACTTTCTCTGTTCTCTTGCGATAATAGTAACATCAGCTTATGATGGTGGAGTTCCAGGAGAGACTGCAGGAGTTAGTGACAGGATAGGTGTTTCTCTTCTCCTCCTCCTTCTCTACCTTCTCTCCTTTCTTTCATTTTCTCTTTACCCATTCTGTCCACCTCCTCCTCCTTTCTCCTCCTCTCTGTCCACCTCTTCCTCCTTTCTTCTCCTCTCTGTCCTCCTCCTCCTTCCTCCTCCTCTCTGTCCTCCTCCTCCTTCCTCCTCCTCCTCTCTGTTCTCCTCCTCCTCCTCTCTGTCCTCTTCCTCCTTCTTCCTCCTCTCAGTTCTCCTCCTCTCTGTCCTCCTCCTCCTTCCTTTTCCTCTCTGTTCTCCTCCTCCTCTCTGTTTTCTTCTTTCTCTCTGTCCTCCTCCTCCTTCCTCCTCCTCTCAGTTCTCCTCCTCCTCTATGTCTTCCTCCTCTCTGTTCTCCTCCTCCTCCTCTCTGTTCTCCTCTTCCTCTCTATCCTCCTCCTCCTCTCTGTCCTCCTCCTCCTTCTTCCTCCTCTCTGTTCTCCTCCTCCTCTCTGTCCTCCTCCTCCTTCCTCCTCCTCTCTGTTCTCCTCCTCCTCTCTGTCCTCCTCCTTCTTCCTCCTCCTCTCTGTTCTCTTCTTCCTCTTTGTCCTCCTCCTCCTTCCTCCTCCTCTCTGTCCTCCTCCTCCTTCTTCCTCCTCTCTGTTCTCCTCCTCCTCTCTGTCCTCTTCCTTCTTCCTCCTCTCTGTTCTCCTCCTCCTCTCTGTCCTCCTCCTCCCTCCTCCTCCTCTCTGTTCTCCTCCTCCTCTCTGTCCTCCTCCTTCCTCCTCCTCTCTGTTCTCCTCCTCCTCTCTGTTCTCCTCCTCCTCTCTGTCCTCTTCCTTCTTCCTCCTCTCAGTTCTCCTCCTCCTCTCTGTCCTCCTCCTCCT